TTAAACCTAGGTATGGGCTGCTGCAAGGATCTTCATTTTCCACAATTTCCAGTATTGTTCAGATAAATTTTCTCATAAAAGAATTTAATCAGTATATTATAATATTTAGCTCTTCAGGCTAATTCAGTAATTGCCTCTCTTTTGAGAGTATAAAAATGACTGACTACTGACTTCCAAAAAAAGGAAAAAAAAGCAACAAACTCATGTTTTTAAGTGTTTCTATTTCATGTTTAAGTCCCATATGGTGAGCAAAGAACGACTTAAAATTTTCAGAACATTTTTTCCACTTTTAGTGTCACACATGACATCTCCTATTTACACAGTACATTTTGTGAAGTCTCAGTGTAAAAGGTTCCATTACAAATCTGGGCAAAAAATTCATGGCTCTAATTGCAGAACAAGAGTTAGAAAAAAAGCTATTCTTTATTAAAACACCCCAAAATATTTAAAGGAAACAGATACTGAAAATAAGCATGCTGGATATAGGCAGCAAAGAACAAAAGGTGGTGAAAGTAGAATAAGAGGGTAGCACTAACAGTTAACAATGGGAAATGTTTCATTTAAAAATTTACATTAAAAACAGTTCTACATAGTTTCTATACTATATATGTTTGACTGCTATAAAAGGTTGAGCTGTAAGAAGTAAGTTTCATGATTGTTCGTTGCTTATAAGCTGATGCAAAGTACTGATCAAGTCAGCTTTTCTTGATTAATAGTTTAGAGATCTCAACCAAGAAAGTTTAATGTCTAAAGGAAATTAAAGTGCATAATTTATACCTCTTCTGGCTATATGGAATATAAGGAGGACTTCCCATTGACTTGCTTAGTTGATAAAACACTTTGTACTCTTGATTTTCATTTCCAAAAATAAATCTGAATTCCTCTTGAAGTGTCAAAACGTGCAGCCTCATAGCTTCGTTCATATTCTGGAAATCATGTCCTTTTCTTCTTTTGCACTCACTTTTACCAGTCTTGCAAAGATTACAGTAATACTGCAGATTAGACACCATTTACTGCTGACATTTTAGGCAGTCACCAACACTACATAAAACATCTACTAAGCACATCTAAAACTGGACAGCACTGTCTCCCACACATTAACTTTTGCCTTTTGGTCTTGCAACTTGAAGAGATATGAACAGAATAAGGAATTTTCATTTTTGAGTTACTCTCTTTCATGACATGCTTTATAACTTATACAACTTCAAGTTTGCTGTCAATTAAAACTATTCATACAGTTAGTTACCAGTGCTCAGCTGAGGAAGTTTGAGGGTCTGCTGTAACCTGATCCTGCTTTTTAGCTGTTTCAGAGGAGCATTTCACTTACTATCTATATCTACTCAGTTCTAATGCCAAAGTATTAGACATGTCAAGTTTTACTGAGATGAGGTCTCCTGAAAATGAGTGATTATGCATGACATATGTGCATGTGCACATCCCATACCAGCTACTACCAAAACCTCAGCAGTCCTTTAACATGCTCAATGGCAGTCCCTCAGCTCTAGGGCTTTCCTTGGATTAGAAGCAAGCTTTTATACACAAAAATGGGATGACAGAGCACTTCTATCTTCATCTTCATTTTAGAAATGAAGAAAAAATACTGAAAATACCATTGTTAGATACAATACTGCTTACCTTTCCCCAGACAGAATGGAATCAAAAAGTTTGGGCATGTTCAAGATCGCTATGGACAACTGTTACTGTCCAAAGATGTTGGTAGCAACAAGCACTAAACAGAAGTGAGATTTTTATTGTGTAGGTATCAGGGTATCTTATCTTATTTGATGCATGCAGCCAAAACATTTCTGTTGGGGAAAAAAAAAAAAAAAAAAAAAAAGTCCCAACAGTTCAGATGACCTCTGGATGAGAGCACAGTGATCATAAATAAGTTTCCCAGAACCAAGGATGTCTTAATTAACATGAATATGATATTCATTTCAAAGACCAAAGAGGAAAAAAAAATTGCCTAGCTAAAAAGTTTTTACCTAAATTAAACTATTTCCCTCCTCTCCACCTCCCCCACTACTCCTTTACTATTTCCCCCTTTCTTTGCTCAACAGTTCAGGATGAAGCATTTTGATTTTTATTTCAAGGATCAAAAGAAACTACTATAATTGCTTGAATTATACTTGAGGTGAGCCTGACGAAGATATAGCCAACACGCTGTTAAAGCTGAAACTATGTTTTTGGGTAGCTGAATTATTTATCTGAATAAACATGCCCAACTCAAGCCTCAAAGCACCTTTTTGGTTTGTTTGCTTGTTTTTCCAACTGAAAGGAGGTTGCATGGAGGGACAACCACGTAAAATACTTCAGCTTTTGAAACATGAAAACCTGTTTAGGCAAGCTTTGTGAACCAGAACTTGTACTATCGCTTGCAATATATCTGCCTAAGTACACATAGTATACAGAATTATTTGCTTCTTTAGAATCCTAGATACTAGAAAGGAGAGAAGGTTCCTATCTTCACACTTAAAAACCTAAGATCAATCAGGCTGAGATCCAGCTGGCAATATTTCACTCAAAGGATTTTCTGGAATTTCCCATTGTTCATACATTGATCTGCCATAGAATAAAACCAATAAGGGAAGTCTGTTGAAAAGGGGATTTATAGGAAGGTTCTACACTCAAGATTCTCAAGGGAGAAAAATAAATTAAGAGCAGCTCACTACCGCCCCTCAAAATTGCAAACCGTACAATATAGGAAAAAGGGACAATACTTCCCTAAGAAAATGAACAAAACTTTCAGAATTAAGGTGCATTATGTTTTATATACAAAAATAGCAACAACAGCATTTAGAACCCTCAAATCCTACCCGAGGAAGCAGATTATTTGTAACATATTGAGGAAAGAGAATCACAAAATTCACTAGTTGTTAAGGGCGGTGAGCTTAATGGAGATAAAACATAAAATAAGACCTTTTATAAAAGCAGATAGCCAATTCTGAGCAGTGTACTTCATTAGCAATAAAAGTTTTAGGTTAGAGAATGAAGAGTTAATATGGATCTTTACTACCATCTTGCTTTAACGAAGGCCCATCTTTTACATTTAAACTATCTGTAGTATATAATGCCCATAAAATATATACCACATACCTAAATGAAAGGAATATGTATTGAGTCTAACACATTAAAGTAAGTATCATATAAGCTGCAAGTGTGAAACATCATCTGTAGGCCTTCTTTTATAACACACTTGTCCTGAAGACACTTGAACTATTTTTAAGTGCTATTATGATTTTCATCTAGTCAAAACAAACATAAAAAGATCTAAAACAGCCTTAGCATCTACCACTAAGTGAATAACAAACATTTTCCAGTGAGTTTTTGCCTACATTTAAAAAAAACAAAAAACCAAGAAAATCCACACCATTGGTGTTGGCTGTGCTTCCAGCCAAGATACAATACAGAAAGCTGTTTCAATGTCCAGAGTGAACTAGCAATAGACCAACTTACTGAAACTCATCTGGACCTTGACTTACAAAGTAAAAATCAGTGAAAAGCAGGTTTGGGGATTTGGTTCAGAACAATACTACAGAGCCACCTCAGCTGAAATAGAAGTAACACATGCGGGATTCTACATATACAGTAAATGTCAAATTTCTAAGGAGCAGGGAAATCTGGTACTGTAAAACAGATGCATGAAAGATTTTTGAAATAACTGTAAAATTCAGAGCACTGCTCATATTAAATATTAATATAGTCAACAGAGTGGTCATGAAAATACGTCCATAAACAAAGAAGCCCAAACAGTTTCAAAGTTAGGCCTGAGTATAGCTCAGTCCCCATCTTAGATGCGAGTTCTAATGGGTTACTAGGAGTAGAATTCTTCCAAGAACGTGTGCATCAAATTTATGCAGCAAAAAAAAAATTATGCCTAGATATTTAGTTCATTCAGTAAAAAACTGAAAATGAAACTAGGGAAATAGGCTTATATTTAATAGGAATTAAATTAAATTTAATAGATCTGACAAAGATATGTTATGGAAAAGAGAGAAATTAAGTGATATAAAAGTTTTTAAGAAAATGAGATTTGCAAAACTTCATAAGCATATCTGAGAATTGAAACTCTAGCATCTTTGAACAAGGAAGGCAAGAGAGTGAACAAGGAAGGCAAAGAGTGAATAACATGAAGTATCTTTTGGATTTAAGTGTAACGGTATAATGAGTATCAGAGCAAGAAAGTCATGTTAATTCTTTTGTTACGCATTGCGGTCCTTAAGGCTTAATTTATACCTTTTCTCTCTGCAGAACCTGAAGCATTTCTCATAAGGCAGATAAACTGCAGCAGCGTTAGCTTAAACAGGTGAATACCTGAGGCTTGTGACTGTCAAACGCTGGAATATCTTACAGAATCAGATGAAAATGTTGCTATTCCAATAACTTCCACACCACCTTTTCCAGGAGTTCCAGTAGCACTGTACAGTTACCAGAGGAAAACACTGAACAAGGTGGCTTTGGGCTAATGTTTCTAAATCATGAAACCACTGTTAACTGCAGGTATGTGAAGCAACCTCCATAAATTAGAGTAATGATTAGCTACTCTGAACTAAAGCAACTGAAACACAGCAATAGTTACCTTCTGCCGAAACTGCTGATAAATAAAAGAAGGGAGTAGGCCAAAAGGCTAGGAACTGCAGTGCATTAAACTGATGCAGCAAGATTCATTGGACTGTTTGAAGTGCTTTGACAAACGCAGACTGAATGTAGTTGGGCAAACTAAATTCTTCAAGCAAGTCAGCATCAATTTTTTAAAACTTCCTCAATGCTAAGTGTTTGCCTTTGTCTCCCAATACAAGTCAACTACTGAAGATTATTCATTTACTTCTCTAAACATTAATTACGGACCATCAAAGTAAGATTGTACTGATGACATAAAAGAAGTGGTTTCTTACCTTTTAATCACAGTTTTCATTCATTTTAGAAAACAGGAAAAAAAAAAAGTAGCTTACAACTTCTGAAGTTCTTCTGTACATATGAGATAACAAAGAAAAGGATATTTTCCTGGAGTTTCAACACCCACTCTGTAGTCCACGTAACTTTGTTGTGGATGGAAGTTGAAAATAAAAATGAGACCTGCCCTCTCAAACGCAATGACCTTATTGGATTCATGCTTTTCACTCACAAAGGCCTAGGAAGAAAATTTTTCCAATACTATAAAATCATATCTCATTTCTAATTAAATTGACAAAAGTAAGAAAATACACTGCTGCTATACCTCATTTCTAGTTAAATCAGACTGTTAAAGATTCAAGCAATATGGATACTGGAGTTAACATACAAACTAAAGAACTCTTGTACTTATGTAACATCATAAAAAAAATTCTGATCACTAAACTACAGCTTTAAATTTTAGAGGGGTATGTAAAATTAAAAACTTGTAAGTGAGCTCTGGATGCAGCACTTTAAAAATTCTTGGTAGTCACAGATTAGTAACGTGGTCATTGTATCACACTTTTCTTTAGTGAAAACAGCTTCCTCTTACCCAATCAAATTTTCAATATATTTCTTATGGGGATCAGAATCGCTCCTACTGTTAGTAATATAGAAAAAGAAGCACCAGGTATGTGGGTTTTTTGTTTTTGTGGTTTTTTTTTAATCTCTGTTTGAGAAATAGCTTTGATAAACCACATTAAACATTTATTATTTGCAACAAACTGCTGCACAGATACCATCTTTATTCTATTTGCTACAGTCATAAATAAGTAACTAAACAACCATTTCAAACAGTCCTTTAAAGTGAATTATGACTAGAGCATCACATAATACTTTATGTGCCCAAAAGCTATCAAATAATTTAAACACTGAGAAACTATAATATTTGATGAGTTGCTTTAATAAAAACTATAGTGCAGTATTTAGGTAAAAAGGTAAATACAAAAGTGACAGGTTGAAGATTGGGACGCTATAATGCATGCTATACTGTACCAAAAGTCTTTTCTCAATAAGAGAGTAATTATTTATGCAAAGTAAATTGTCAGAAGAATTCATACTTTCTCAAAGTAATCCTTGGACTGTATTACAAACAAATTTTTATAGTCTGCTTTAACCAATCTGCAGTTACTAAATAAAAACAGCAAAAATAATAGGAAAAAAGATTGCGGTGAAGCTAAAAGGATACTATTTTAGATTTTTACTATCTGCAGAAGATATTTCAGTGACATGTTTTGACAACTTGAAATATATGGCGGGGCATTACACAATGCAAAATAAAGTGCTGTTTAAAATTTCTGCATGCAAATTTTATATTATTGTTATTCTGAATGCATATGCTACTGGTGACTAAAAACTTACATTTAGTATATATAGCTTACCGGGGGAGATGCAAGCCAGCCAAATCTTTCTTCCAATTTATTCATATCTCTGTCAAATGCATTTAGGAATCTATAGCGAAGAAGATGATCATCAGTAAGATTAAACTGTCTTCTGGCATAGTGGTAGCTCTCATTATTCCCTTTTCTGGGAAAGTCAAGCCATTCTGGATGCCCAAATTCATTACCTGTATTTAAAAAATATTAATTAGGGATCCATGAAATCACATGCTGAAGAAACACTAAAAACAAAGATAATATACATTAAAATAGATTTCCTTTCAGAAGTTTTAAATTCCATAGAATAATTTTCCTTACATAAAATGATCCTTCTATTATTAAAATTATTTTCAGAACTTTCATACTCATTAAGAGTGTTTGAATGGCCAGTGAAACTGCCAAAACAAAATATCCACAGAGTCCTATAAAAGTCTAGACTGAGGAATGGGTTTCATAACCTCTACATTATCATGTGATGCTTAAAGATTCCTAATTCCCATCAGGGCAACAGAAATTGAGTCAACCAAGATATAAATTTCAGAGTCACTATGAAACCTAAACATACCACTTTAACACTATAAATCCACTGCCTTAGAGCACCGAAGAGCAGAAGACCAATTAGCACTTTCATTCACATGGTTAACTTCCATACTGACGGAGGTAGAAATCTCCCACTTTATCAACTGAACTTAACAGCAATCAAAAGTCCAGCTGGACCCACCTGGACCACTTTTTTCACTGTATATCCTGACTATAAATACTGTCACTGTTTCTAATAAAATAACTATTCAATAAAAACTACTAAAAAAAAAGATTTGAAACTGTTCCTCAGCTTCTGAGAAGCATTCAAGAAAGCATCCTAGTTCAAGCAGTGGACTAAACTACATGCAATAACCCACCACCAATGATGATGCATTCAGTCTTTAACATTAAAAATAAGTGACTTAAAGGGCTTTAACAGAGCATAGGTGGCTTCAGCCACCTACTCCTTGCAACAGGAGGGGCTCCTTTCCTGAACTTGACATTTAGCGCCACAAGCACCAAAAGGGATGCTTTTCAAGCTGGCTTGGAGCACATTTCAGCTCTGGGTTCCTTTGTGTGCCAAGCACTCAGGTCCCTTTAGATGCCAGCAAACACCACTGTGTTTCAATTTGCTTTTCTATAGCAGTAATGCTTCATAAGTCTGCTGTTTTCATCCTGACTATCTAGGCCACAACAACTAATGAATAGATTTTACTTTAAGATAAGGAATATGTTTAGTCAGACTTCAATTAGACTTTTAAAAAAAAGAAAATAGAGGAGAGAAAATTCTAAATTTAGTTGAATTTGAAAAAAAACAAAAAACAAAAAAAACTTCTTACCTAGAATTTCCAAAACAAATCTCAGGCATTGAAGCCAGAGACTCATAGCAACACTTCATTCCTCTTGTGACTCAGCATTCTGAATGACTTTCTTGTATTCCTAACTTATTTTATAAAACCCTTCCTTCCTTCTTTATTAGAGTTCAATACAAACCCAAATAAACTTAATGGTTCCACCTTATGCTTTTCATAGGGTCTATGATATTTGATGCATCACAAGCATTTTACAGAGATTACACATAATATGTTCTCACTAGAAAACAGAGACGACGAGTGGGGTGCCTGGAAACGTCTCTGAGAAGTAATATGACCAAGTTTAAGAGTATTTCTGTATTAGAAGGAATCTATTCAATATTTCTGCAAGCAGTTACTCAAGTTTTGGCAATAAACTGCAGTTTTGTGGCCAGGTGAAGGACAGGGATACAGAGAGAATGAAGTTGAAGGTGGCGTTTTCTGGATGGAGAGCCTGCATGAGTAGCCACCATCTGTGTTTCACACAGCCTGTGCTGCCTGGAAGGCCCAGAGAAGATGGTCAGCAGCGACAGCTATGAACTTAGATTTTCAAAGTGATTTTGTGTATTTTCATGTTTCACAGGAACAAAGAAATGAGCAAAGAACAAAAGAAAAAGGCTGCACTTATATTTAGGAGACTCCTTTACAGAGGTATCCGTTTTGTAAACGGACTGACAAGCTGTAAATTAAATTTCATATTCAGAAGCTAAATCACTAAATTTGACATTCAGTTCAAAACTACAGACAAATATAAAAGAATGAGAATCACAGCAGGACTTTGAAAATAACCTTGGAATAATACTGGACAGAGCTCTTAAAAAGTGTGCTAACAATACAGTACAGAAAATGAGGAAAGATATTACTACAGAACAGAAACTGTATCTAACCAAATTCAATATTCTCTTAAGATCTGGCAAGGTATTATCTTCTTTTGTGATCTGTGCACTATTGAAAAACATGTGATAGCTCAAAGATATCAAAAAATATCGCAAGCTGGAGATAGGATGCATCTTGAAAAGATAGCCAGGGAAATCATATCTATTTATTGAAGAAAAATATAAAAATGGAGGAAATAAGCAATAGAAGACAGTGAATAAGTTAGACTAAAGTAGCACATCATTTCAACAGAGCATTTCACCAGAAGTAGAGCGTTAACTCCTTTACACTTATATCGTATACCAACTCCCCTCATTTGCCTTGCCTGTTTCCCCACCACAGTAGCTAGTGTTGTTTGAATGTTGTTTTTTTTTTTTTTAAAGTAAAAATGCAGCAAAAATAGTTAAAGGTTATTAAGAAAAAAAAGGGATTCAACATAGTACAGCAACTGGATAAAAGACTGAATTACTTGCTGATGTCAGAAAAGCATATTCAAGTTCTAAGCACTTACATTTTAAAGCCTGTTTTTTTTTTTTTTTTTCCTTTTAATAGGCACCTTCTGGGCAACATACCTGCAAGCCATTTATATTTGTGATGTTAAAAGTGAATGAGGGCTTTTTAGAGACAGAAATACAAGTTCCTAAATTAAGACAGAATAAATTCCAGTAGGCTTTTTTCTTTTGGTCATAAGACAGAGCATAGAGAAAGGGAACTAACATTTAGGATGCAAGCAGGCGTTCCCATAGATTGCAAAGAGCATTTTGGCACTTGAGAGGCATCAAAGCTACACACCCTTTAACAAGATATACACATCCCACACTACATCTTGTCCAACAGTCACTTGCCCAACAAGCACTAGCCTGTGCTAGTTTATAATATAAAATCACTAGTTTTTCTTAGTTTAACTTTAAAATGCACGAGGAGCAGGTAGGAAAGAGAAGGCGACTATAACTCTATGACACTTACTTGTAGAATAATTAATGGTGTCTGTAAAGCGTGTGCTATCCCCTCCCTAATGTTTTGCTTCTTATTTCTGACAAGAATCAGCAACAGTCACTTCTGGATAACTGAGAAAACATCTAAGTGTAAAAGTTCTATTGGGATTTCTTTTCCTGTAATTAATTTGCTGTTGGATGTAAAGGTCCAAACTACAGATTGACAAGCAGCCAGCTGGTACAAATGATGCAAATCATGACAATGGAACTGATGTGGGGGAGGCAGAGAACAAAGCTGAAATTAACTGAAATTTTGATTAGAGAAACAAAACAAAGACAAATCACTGAAGTGCAATGCATACTAATTTTATCTAGAAATTAATTCTAGTTTGCTATTTTCTACATGTTACGCATATTGCACATCTTTACTGTGCACAAGATTTCAAGATCACAGTTCTAACAAATAAATTAACATCCTATTCAACATAATGAAAATTTACACCACTACCGTTTGTAAGAATACAAATACACTTACACCACAAGAAGTACTTATGCAGCTGATGATTATTTTGCAGCTGAACCCCTCAGGTTATTAGTCGTCTTGATCTCTTTTTCAGACATTTTTGCTAGCAATTCTTTCTCAAAGAATCAGACTAAACAGAACTCTGACAGCAGCTTTAAAAGATGCAGGCAGTTAAGCAATGCCAGTCTTTCCAGGATTTGTTTTATGTGCATTTTTTTTTCTTTTTTTAAACGAAAGATGTATGACATTAAATATTTTAAGAACAAAGTAGGCGAGTAATTTATTCGATAAACACCTGAATAAACGTCTTACTTTTCTTTGGCTTAAGTTTGCATAAATATATAAAGGATCTAAAATACTATAAAACCTTATTTAAAGCAGAGGGGCTGAAGACTGTGCACACTGGGACAGGTTTTCAACTCATTCACATTAAAATATTTCCATCAAAGTAAGTGGAGTAACACTACTTTACACAAGTCAGATAACCAGCCTATTCAGAACTCATAACTGACGTGAATTTAATTTCATCATCACTGAACAACGATGATAATGCAACAATCTGGAATAAAATACTGCTTTGCTTGCTTTCTTTTCTAAACAGAACCAATGTAAATCAGATTTAGATTGTACATCATATTCATCACTTTTCAAAAAATAAACATTTCAAAGGATTAATCCTCATTTTCCCTTGTTGTTGCGAAGCTCTGATATCAAGCAATTCTCATACTTCATATTTACTCAAGTTTGTAGCAAATTTTCTTCAGCCTCTTAAATTTTAACTAAATAACATTCATACGACCAAAAGCAAACAAGAACCTCTACACTGCCTTCAAACTACCAGGGGATGAACTCTATTAAAAGATTCATTTAATCCTGTCAACCATGTGAAAATACAATAGAATAAAATTCCAAATTGAAATATTTGTGTTAGAAGACTTTGACAGATTTATTTTTTTAGTCTCTTCAGCATTCAATTAGGGCAAACAATTACAATTTTTTCATTAAAAACAGGCTAGAGGATATATAATACATATGGTCTTGGTAAAAAAAACAAAAATCATAAAAAAAACCCAATGAATTGGTAAAAGAAGTCCTGTGTGAGAAGTATTTTTCTCCCATTCTGCTAAAATTTTAGATATCCTCTTTCCATTCTATAACGGGACAAAAATTACAATGAAGACTTCATTTGCTCTGGAAACTTAGATCTTCCATAGCCGAAGTGAGTGCTCTGACCACTCTTCCTTCTAGTCTTCCAACATCTCAAGACAACACTGCACATATAAGAAAGCCTACCTGCAAAGATGTCTCTGAAAGGCACATTTCTACGAAAGTTCTGAATCATTTAAGTCAGCATGTTTATTCTCTATGAAAACCACACGAAAAAAACCCTCCTTTTCCCTTCTTTCCTCCCCCCCCCCCAAAAAAAAAAAAAGGGAGAGAAAATTTGTTGGAAACAAAAACTTAGGTGAAAATATTTTATC